TTCAGAGGGTGGAGGGAGGGGGGATCAGGAAAAACAACTAATGAGTTCTAGGCTTAATACCTGGGTGATAGGAAGAATCAATATAATTTATTGTTAAAATGGCTATACTGCCCAAAGAAACTTATGGATTCAATGCTATTCCCATTAAACTATCATTGACATTTTTCACAGAAGTAGCAAAAGCTATTTTAAAATTCATATATAACCAAAAAAAAAAAAGAGCCTGAATAGCCAAGACAATCCTAAACTAAAAGAACAAAGCTGGAAGTATCACGCTACCTGACTTCAAACTATACTACAGGGCTACAGTAACCAGAAAAGCATGGTACTGGTACGAGAACAGATACAGAGGTAATTTAACAAAGTTCAGTCTGGTCTGGTCTTTTTCTTTTTTTAACATTTAAGTTCAGGGTTACAAGTGTAGATTTGTTACATAGGTAAATGGGGGTTTGTTGTACAAATTATTGCATCAACTGCCTCATCAACCAACATTAAAAAATTAGGAGATTATGCTTTTGTTGGTAATCTCTTCTCAGCCTACAGCGTTTTTATCAAATGCTTGCTATAGCAGTTGTGTTCCTGCATAACAAACCTTATATTTATTAAGCCTTGCAAAAACGTAAAATGTGCTTCATTTTTTATTCTATAATAGTCATCAAGATTATTTCTAAATATCATTTATATATCAGGTCCCTAGTGAGGTAGTTTAACTAAAAAATTGTTTTAGTTGCATTTATATTGATTTGCTCACATTGAACCCACTTATGTTTACTTTTATTTATAAGGACTCTTCACACATTAAAGATACTCTCTTGGCAGGGGGATAATGTTTTCAATGTAAGTGACAAGCATTTTGTCATATGGCTTTGGATACTGACTATGGTATTTTCTGCCTTACAGAAGTCTTCTATGCTCTAACTTATTGAAGGTTTTCTTTATGCCTTCCCCTCTTAAACATTATTTTTACTTTACCATATAATTTAGTATTTATAATGATTTCATTTTCTCATAGAAAAACATTTGATCCACCTGGAATTTATCTGTGATAGAGAGTAGGATAAGGATTCAGGAGTTGGTGATCAGGGAAGAAGTAGGAGGAGAAGGTTTTGGTGGGGGGGGGCGGTCACTCATTAGCCTTTGGAAAAAGTATTTATATTATATCTAGATTTCCACTTGAATTGATTCTCAATGGAAAACTGAATCAATCAATAATATTGTGTTCCAGCTTGATCATAGTAATTACTGTTTCCCTAATTAATGAACATGGTCATTCATTTTGAAATTCCTACTACTTTGTCTACAGTGACTTTATTTTATAAAACCATCTTGACTAGTTTAAACAATTTAATTGCTTTCAGCATGATGAGATTATTTCTTCTACCGAATCCTGTTATGAAACAATGATAACATATTTGGCTTTGGGGCATGTCACAGTACTGTATCTGAGATGTTCAAATATAAATGGAAGTGTTCAATTATAAGGTCTCCCATCCTCAGATGATTGTTTTTCCTTCTTTCTTTAACAGTATTTTTTTATTCCTTTCCCTTCCCTTCCTGCTTCTACCTTTCCTTTGGTCTTTATTGCGGTCCTTAGGAAAATACCTACCCTGGTATTTTCCCTTAACTTGGCCTACATATTTACCCCAGTTTTTTTCTCCCTAAAACATCAGTAAGCTCATATAGTCCTCACCTTCCTCTGTGCAAGGCCACGGTACCCACAGGCCTGGAGCTGAAAACCTTCCTTTGGCAGTCATTACTGTTGAAAGGAGTTCCACATGTGTAAATCTTTCAGGACAAGTACTGCAGACAGTTCGAGTGATCTGTCTTGAGTCCAGCGACATCACAGGGACCACCCCATGTGGGACTTCCCTCATCCTGCCCATAACATTTGAACTCAGTTAAAATGGACATCAAAGGTGGCTCTAAAGAAGAAAAGAAAACGCAGAGGAGTCATGAAAGGGTAGTGTAAGGCCTAGAGACAAAGCTGAGATAGGAACAGTGTATGACCAAGGCAGCCGGCACCAGCAGTGCTGGGACATCCCTATTTGCCAAGTCCTCAAGGTATTTTTCTGTGATTACTCCATACGTCAGGATCCTGAACGCAAGGCAATTCTCATCCATTCCAGTCATTTCACAGCTGACTTGGAGAGGAGTAAAGGACAAGGAGGTTGAAGTACTACTGTGTGACTTAACTCATCATGAGGGTACAGAAAACATATCTTTGTATTTTTGAAGGGAAGATTTAACATGCAAAATATGTTATGATTTAAAGTTGAGGTGGAGGAAGACAAACAAATTTCTCTCAATCCCACCTTTGCCACCACCATCATTCCACCAAGGGGAGGCCCTAGAGCAGCCCTGTGATATTTAAATGTAAGTTGCTTTAGGAAAAGGCAGTGTTCCATGTGCCCCAACCCATGTTACAGCCCCAGCTCTGAGTTGAGGGGTACTTTGCTTTCCTTGGCAACCGCTCTCAAGCTCATTCATTTTAAGGACCTCATGGGAAGAATGGCTGTATTCTGAGGTGGAATTTACAGTTTCTTGAGACCTTTGGACTTAATATCATTATAAAGCACCCCAATATCCTTCCCAACCCCAATTTTCAAAGCTGTCATAGTTTCACTATAGGTGTTAGGAGATGTATTTACCAAATTAGCTAAGCCATTACGGGACAGAAGTCAAAGCCTGGAGGATGGTGGGCTACAAGGGAAGGACCCAGGGAAATTCTGCCAAATCCTGATGTCAAGTACCAAGGGCTGGGGATGGTTGGACAGCCTGGGAAACCCTGACACTGAGAACATTTTTCAGAGGAATGTAAAAGGGTATAGATGGGAAGGGCTTGAAACAAATCTGATTTGCACTATGTCTGCAGAGCAGTGTTTCTCAGACTACCTGTGAAAAAGACCAGAGTATTTGGAGTTTTAGTTTGTTGTTTTTAGTTTCAGCCCATTGTGAACTGATACATTTATACAACACAAATAAATAGAAAAAAGTAATTAAATAAAAAACAAAGGCATGCAAAATACACACCCAATTTTTTATTAGATTGGACAAATTATATTTCATTAATAAAATAAATTAATACAGTGCTCTGTTAAGTGGCTGTTAGAGTTTCTAAACTCTGACTCTCAATTTCTGTCCCTGTCTTGCTCCAAATTGGTAACAAACAGGTTCAGAGACCGCACAGGTCTGCGGGCCATGCTTTGATTGACATGGCTTTAAGGGGTGTGGCTTATGAATCTGATGGAGCAGGTGTCTGGGCATTGAAGAAAGGCAGTCCAAGAGGCAGACCACACGAGGCCTTTGGAGCAGCGAAACAGCTGTTCTATAAGGGTCTCCTGAAATACTGGAGGGGCAAAAACAACATCTCCAAGAGCAGCAAGAAAGACAGCAAATAGAACCACAGGGCCACGATGTGTGAAGCCAGCCCTGCTCTGAGCATAGCCATCCACTCGCTTGGTCTGGTACAGCTGCTGCAAAGCCATCCAAAACAAACACAGCCCTCCCTGCAGCAGACTCCACAGAGCAAAAACCAACACCCAGAAATAAATTGGATCGCTGGGCTCATCATGTTACACAGCCCACTGTTCTCAAATCCAGGATCCTGAATATAATAACAAATGATACTATTAACTAGTGAATCAGTTTAAAGCCAAAACCAAATAACTTGTTCCTATTAATCAACATGATTCTCAGAATTTTCCAGGTCAGCTACAAGAAAGAGTTAGGAGACTCTTCCCAATGGAACTAAATCTCGCCCATGTCTAATTGCACGCAGTGTGCATGGCTAAATCCTGTTTCCCTTCTGCACAGCCAGCTTGCCTCTCAGAGCGTCTCAGTCCCCAGGGGCTTCTCAAAAGAGTCGAGTATGTAGTCAGGCTGAAAGCAACATGAAGCCAGGAGCCAGCACATAAGAGCTTAGAGCCACCTGCTAGCTTAGTAATCTCAAGCAAGTCCCTGAGCTTCAGTTTCTTTACCCATAAAACAAGACTAATAACAGCCACGTCCCTGGAAATACAACTGAAAATGTTTAGCAATTTGTACAACGCTATGTGGACATTAGTCTTTACTTCTCAGAAATAAGCAGCTGAGAGATACTTGTAACCATTCCCATCTCCCCCATCCCCCACCAACACACGCGCGCACACACACACAGCTTTGTCCTTCACAGTTTATTTCTGCCTTAGAGTTTGGATCACTTCTACCTGTCACACACCAACACACCGTCTTCCTTATGACCCCAGCATCACTGGGAAGTAGCAGGGAGCTGACGCCATCCTGTCTGCCTTCCAGTGTGGAAAAATGGCATACAAGAGAGCCATTCAAGGCACAGAAACAGTGACACAGATGACTTGAAAATTCACAGGGACATTTGAGTGGGAGTAACAAGTTTGGTTTATTAAGCTTGTGGCTTTTCTTCACCTGGCTCCTCTTTATCTCACCTTCTGCTCTCTCCGGCAGGAAGTCACTGCTCTGCGTTGGTTTTGTTCATTCTGTTTAACATGAAGAAAGCTTTACTGTTGCCACATCCCTATAAAAGGCTTTTTATAAAATTCTGTGTTCTAGCAGGGTACTCATTCACACACAAGTTAACACACAAGGAGGGCAGGCAGGTGATTTGGTCCAGGCCATAAGCTGTGCAGCCTTGAGCAAATTACTTAGCATCTTTGGAGTTATTTCTTCCATTGTAACATAAATATTATAGTTGTCCTGCTTTCCTCAAAGACATAGACATGAAACCATAAATGATCATTAAAAAAGAATTTTGGAAATAACTTAAGGCATTTTACTTATATACAATTAAGTTATATTGTATAATATATAATATTATTTATTATTGTTCCTATTTTTTGTGTTAGAAAACAATTTGATAGGAGTCTCTTGCAACCTGCCAAGTGTAATAGCTCTGGATTTTAATTATCCTTTCTAAAACAAATGGAAGATAGAATGCATACATCTTAAAAGAAAGATCTGTTGATTTAATGCAAATTTTGACCAGTGTTTCTAGAAAATGATTGGCATTCTGGTGCATGATCTATCTGTATTCATTTTATATTTACACTGCTGATCAGTGCCTGGCACAAACAGAATCTTGAGCCTAATACCCTTTGTATTGAAGGCCTGGCAATGCAGTGTTATCTTTCCTGGGGAGAATAACAAAGTACAGTCCTTTACTTTTAAAAGACATTATTATTACGGCCCTGGAAAAACACCTGGTCATTTTCAATTAAAAATGAGTAAAAGAGAGACTCTAAATCAAAAATGTGTGCCAATGTTCACCTTTAATGACATTTTGAAATCTCACAAAAATGTAACTAAAATTTAACCAAATTTGAGCAAACTTAGAGAAAAGGCATAAGTAGGGATGTTTGCTGCAAAACATACAGTTTTCTCTGGATGGTGCTCAGGCTTTAGCTAAGTCACATTGTGAAGTAACCATGATCTGTGCAAGGTCCATGTCTCCCTTCATCATAAATCTATGTCCAGATGAAAAAGAGAGAAGAATGAATATAATAGGCACCATTTTGTGCCAGGAAAAATAGTAAGTATTGCTTTAGAGCAATGCACCCCTTTGAACTCTGTCTGCAACTTCATTACATTCTTACGGCATGGATATTTTTAATTTATAAATGTTATATATGTAGTATAAATTTCATTTATACCACAAATGCTCTGATACAGATATTAGAGATGGTATCTCCAGATATGAGTTTGTTATGTCGCACATACCTCTCCCGAAAAAGTGCTAAAAGCACACAACTTAAAGTCCTCAAACGGATACATGCATTTACACTTAGATGTGAGAAAAATCTTAACCTCTAGAGCACTTGTGGTTAGAAAGTCAAAGCTTGTAAGAACAAAATTCAGTCTTCAGAATCTTCTTCCTTCATCATAGGATCAGAGCATTTCATCTGGCCTGCTTAAATCTAAGTCTTTAAAAGGACTATGTTTTCTTCTTTCTCTCTGTTTTTCCTAATAGTTGGAGCTTATATGACTTCTGAGTGTAAGTATCTCCTATATCTACATGTAAATATTAAATGACGTTCTACTGACGATATTGTTATATTATAGATGGAAATTATTTTCACAATCATTTCTATCTTTCTGAACTGTAATGCACTATACAAATTTTGCATCAGCAAAATTATTGTAACTCTTAAGTAGGGTTGTTGCTTTTTAAGCTTTGAAAATAATACAGCGACTGTCAGTGGAAGAATTACATGAAACATTTTGTTTAGATCTTTTTTGTGATATCTTTTGGTCTACTTTTGTAGGTTTCAATATGGAAATTATTGGAGGAAAAGAAGTGTCACCTCATTCCAGGCCATTTATGGCCTCCATCCAGTATGGCGGACATCACATTTGTGGAGGTGTTCTGATCGATCCCCAGTGGGTGCTAACAGCAGCCCACTGCCACTATCGGTGAGTCCTCCATACTTTTCCAGGCATGTGTTTTTCCTGCAAGTTATTAGAGCTAGAAGAGAAGCTTACCTCTCCTGAGCGAGAATTTGATCAACTCTTAGCTTCTGTGGTCATTACCAACTGGTGGGGTTTATTTACCTTCTTCCACACCCACGCCTTCTGGCCTGGGTTTTCCTTTTCAGAGAGATCTGGGCTGCTTTTCCCAGGCAAGACATTAGACAAATTCAACCTCTCTGTAGAATGCCGGGGAACACAGCAACAGTAATACCTGAAGCAGCAGTGCTCTTGATCTTGTTAGATCACACTGCTCAAGAGGAAATCAGACAACCTGAGCTTGCTCTGTGCTCTTAGCTTCCCCATCTTACAAAGGGGTAATAATCATATCACACCTGCTTCATGGGGTCTGAGAATTAAGTAGTATCTATTTCAGTATTTCAGCATGCTTGGCACATTTAGGAAGCATAAAAAGTTGCAGCTTTGATCATTAGTATTATACGTACCAGAAGCCTACTTTGCCACTCCTAACAGTAACTACTCACCCCTCACAACTTTCCTAGGTGGAAACGAACAAGTTATCGATCACTTCTAAAAAGAGAAAGATAATGAGAGAGTTATTTTTGGGGATACTTAGAATGAAAGCTTTTCTGAAGACGAAGTAAAACCTCCCGAAGTCCATTTCAGCCTAGGATTCTCTCACATCAGCTAATAAAGCACAAAATCCCTCTTGGGAGGCTGCAATCAACACAAAAGGAAATGCCAGTAGAAAACTAATGTGATATTTGTTGTTTTGTTTGTTTGCTTGGGTTTTTTGGTTTTGTTTTTTGTTTGTATGTTTCCTTATGTCTCTTGCCTAATAAGCTGAGATAGAGGCTTCTCCCTTTCTTTCACTTAAAGATCTATCTTAGCTGTAATGGTTTGCTCTCTAGGCATTGTCTATATTTAAACAGAACAACTGAATTGATTTACTTCTCCATGTTTTGGAGGTTTTGTGTGATTGCCCCATTTAAATGGAACTGATTGATCACAAATTAAAAGTTTTGAAGCCTGCAGACAGGGATATCTTCTGCTATCTCTAAGTAGCAAGCCACTTATTTCAAATTTAATATGGTTACTTTATTTACATGGGGTTCTTGCCCTCATAGAAATCATACTCTCATCCCCATCATTTCTCTCTTCTCCAGGGCACTTGGACCCTCGAGACCAGAGAGGCAGAGTGGGGAACTGTCAATAAATGTTCATTTGATGCAAAATATGCGTATCTTCAAACATACTCATGATACACATTCAAATGGTCTATAACCTCCCCAGACACAGAGCTTGACTTCTAAATGTTCAGCAAATGCTAGATAGAAAGAAGGAAATACATTGAAGGATCTTTCTTTATCTCTTTGGTTTTTTTTTGTTTGTTTTGTTTTGTTGTTGTTTTGCTAAGCCTGAAACATGACGTATGAAGAAGTACTTCGCTAGTCATAAAGTGTTATAGGAAGTTAAATAACATTACTAAGTTGAATTTTAAATTTTGTCAAGTGGATTTAACTCAGAAGTGGATTCTCAAATTGGGGAAAGAGATTATAAAAAAGACTAAGAGAGAGGTCTTGGAGGTTTTTTTTCCTTAAAACAAACTATTGCTAAATATCATTTTTAATGGCTGGAGTATAAAAAAAGAACTCCAAAATATGTATATCAAATTTCCTCTACAGGACATTTGGGTGTAAAAAGTAGGCAGATCAGTGGTTGGAAAAATATTAAGATTTATGAAATTCAAAATATTTGCGAAATAGCTCAATGGTGGCTTCCCACAAATGTACTCCCCAGTATCCTGTGGGAATAGTTTGTCCCCAAGCCTCTCTCTCAGCAAAACTGCGAAGTGGGCCAAACTTGGGAGTGCTCCTCCTCACCAGCCATCCACACAGTTCGTCCCTCAGTATCCCGGCCCCTTTATTAGTTACCATTTAAATATAAAAGGAAACTGGTAAAAATGTCTTGTACAAACTTATTTTTAGCATTTTTTACTCACCAGAGGCAAAATTGTCACCAGCTGTTCTTCCCTATCCTCCTGAGTCTCCCCCAGTGCCTGCCTCACAGAGCACTTCCCCCAGCCCTAACCTGCCTAGCAAGTTGTTAGATGGAACCTTCCACAGCTCTTCCACATGGCCTCACTCCATCTCAAAGACTCAAGGCTCCTGGAGAAAAATGGTTCAATGTCAGGCTCTAGATTCAAGCCAACTGAGCTTTAATCCTGCCCAAATTTGCCTCCTGGAGGCAAACTTCCTCAAGTTTATTCATATACCTGAACCTCAATTTCTTCGTCTATAAAATGGGGATTGTCATAATACTTATCTCACCATGCTGCTGTGAGGTTTAAATGAGGGAAGCTATATAAAATGCTTAGCATAAACATAAAGAACTTAATAGATGTTATCGAGTATTATTATATGATTATCTGTGCCTTCCATGGTAATAATTGACAAACTAATCTGATGTTGATGAGATAAGACTGGGAAACCCTCCCTGTCTGACAGCCAAGTTCTTCTCCCTCTTTCTTAGGCAAGAGAAATCTCCAAAACATAGGGACCCTGCCTTTGCTGCCAGATCTCAAGGGGTGGGTCTAAGCAGAAGCACTGCTGAGCATCCAGGCAGGCTGGCAGAGAAAAGAAGAGGCTTGAAGGGGGTTGGCATGGGACTCAAAGAGGGATTGAGGAAGGAACACTGGACTGGGAATCACCAAAAGCTAAATTTGGGTCCTGCCTCCCCTATTTTGAGGTGTGTCACCTTGGACCAGTTAAAGAACAACCTTTTACTGGTAAGGAATATACAGCCTGAGAAAAGTTGTCATTAGGCTCAATCGAAGCAACGTTTACAGATGTCTTCAGCAGACCTACTATAAGCCGCACTGTAGTTCTGCTCTGTATGTGGTTCTTTTTCAGTTAAGTTCAGGGTGGGACTCAGGAAACCACATTTTACACCAACACCTCCAGATGATTCTGAAGCAAGTCTGAAGACCTCACTTGGGGAAACATTGTGTTGTGCAGTTGAAAGACAGGGTATTATTACTTCTCCTCTGTGTGAATTCAGACTTCAGTTTAGCTAAGGAGGTGGGATCCCAGAACTCAAGTAATTCCAGGTATCCTGTGGGCAGAAAATTTGACCTCAGTAGCACAGATTACAGTTGAAGAGTATCTAGAAATTAAAAGTCCAGTGGTCTGCTTGGGTTGTTTTAGGTTTTAACATGTCCCAGTGGAGACAAAAATAACCAAAACATTTCAAAGGCAATAACTAGCCAAGGAAATTAGTAAAAGCTGAAAGAAACCCAGACATTTTTCCAGCATCCCTCCCTTAGTGAAAATCCACCCTCCACACCTTGTATTTGTACCTGGCAGCCTTCTTTGTATGAGTTGTCTATGCACGTGCCCACCTTACTGTTAGGACATTCATCCTGGAGACTTTATATCATTCTTCTCCTACAAAGTTTTGGGTTTAGTGGGTATGTTGAATTTGAATCCAAATCAATCCTAGGAAATCCGATCCACATCCTATGAGAAATTTCAACCCCATCCTGATTTTGCAATAGGCAAACTTTTCGACAAATAGAGCTGGAATTCCCAAAATAAATCAAAATAAACTCTTTTGATGGAAAGCAAATCACCAAAAAGTGGTCATTGCAGGCAGTCACAGCTCTGCCATAAGCAAACCCACCCCACCGCAGGCATTTGCTCATTGTCCAAATCTGAAACAATCATGTCTTCCTTTTTCTGTATGTTTCTGGGCTCTTTATAACTTTTATTGATCTTTATTAATCTACATGCATGAGTATGTGTGTTTTTACTGCAATCTGCTTTGGTAGCTTTTTCAAGTAGCAAAGAAATAGTTACACATAGACAAATAAACACAATTAAAAGATCTGAGGTGGCTTTCATAAAGACAGACACTGCAATGGAATGTATCTGTAGTATACAAATGGCTCTACGGTACTGTCAAAATCTCCAAAAAATTTTTTTCTACTTTATCACTGCTGTAAATGTAATTTTATCCAACAAAGAGTAAATCAGATCAATTGTGGCACTATTGAAACAATGGTACTAGAACTGTGTATGACCAGAGATTTAAAAAACAAACCTGGCCAGGCATGGTGGCTCACACCTGTAATCCCAGCACTTTGGGAGGCTGAGGCTGGTGGATTACCTGAGGTCAGGAGTTCGAGACCAGTCCGGCCAACATGGCAGAACCCCATCTCTACCAAAAATACAAAAATTAGCCAGGTGTGGTGGCACACGCCTGTAGTCCCAGCTACTCAGGAGGCTGAAGCAGGATAATCACTTGAACCCGGGAGACAGAAGTTGCAGTGAGCTGAATTCACACCACTGCACTCCAGCCTGGGCAACAGAGCGAGACTCCATCTCAAAAAAAAAAAAGCTAAAAAACAAACCTGTTTCTTCACCTGACTCACCAGTTTGTACCCTCAAAATCTCCCCATTGGAATGGCTACTAACCTTAAAGTGTCTTCATTTCAAATTAGCACTGTTTCCTCAGTTTGAGGAAAGTTTTCCTTTCTTGTCCAAATCTTCATTCTAATTGAGGGACAGGATACATGTGGATGAGCAAGTGCAGGGTGGGGGTCTTAAATTTATTTATTTTTATTTATGGTTTTAGAGATGGGTATTGTTATATCACCACTGCACAATCACACTAGCACAATCACCACTGCACAATCACTTTAGCCTCCAGCTCCTGGGCTCAAGCAATCCTCCTGCTTCAGCCTCTCAAATAGTTGAGACTATAGGCATTCACCACGGTACCTCGTTAATTTTTTTTTTTTTTTTTTTTTAGAGCTGGGGGTCTCACTGTGTTACCCAGGCTGGTCTCAAATTCCTGGCCTCAAATGATCCTCCCACCTCAGTCTCCCAAGTTGCTGGGATTACAGGTGTGAGCCACCACACCTGGCTACCTTAATTATTGAAACACTTAATGTTGGGAAGATAAAAAAGTTCTGGGGTTCTGGAGATGATAGTGGTGGACAAACAACAATATACATGTCCTTCACACCACTAAATGGTACATTTAAGAATGGTTAAAATGGTAAATTTTGTTACATAGGTTTTAGCACAATAAAAAAATATTAATTGTAATTGGTGTAAATCTCAAACTACAAACTCAAGAAATGTAATTTCCTTTATTTTAACATAAATGAACACAATTTTGTTTTACACTTGATCTAAGTCAAGTAGGATTTTACTCCTTTTTCTTCCCCCAGTTGGATACAAGTTCTGATACTCTTTTGCAATGCCAGGGAATTGGTTTGGGGTGGGATTAAGGACAAGTCATTTGGCCCTTAATATCAAGTCATGCTGGGGTCCACTGAGACCTTCGTCACTCTACCTAATCGTAAGCAGGTTACCTTGGAGATAGCCCTTGTTTCTCTATGTATATAACCCTCTCCACCATCTCTACTCCCCACTGGGGGATTTGGAAATCATTCTGCTGCTTTCATGCTCTTTGCTTTTTTAGGTTTGCCAAAGGCCAGTCTCCCACTGTGGTTTTAGGTGCACACTCTCTCTCAAAGAATGAAGCCTCCAAACAAACATTTAAGATTAAAAAATTCATACCATTCTCAAGATTTACATCAAATCTTCCATCAAATGATATCATGCTGGTTAAGGTAGGTAGTAGCGTTGCCTTTCTTCAATTTTGTCAACATTTTTATACAGGATGGCTCAATTAGTTAAGTCACCCACACAAAAGCATTTTGTTAGGACCCTCCCCGTGTTTGAGGTGATTCTGATATATTTTATAAGGGCCCATGTTATTCCTCATACTGTCTTGAAAGAAACAAGAATTTTATCACAAATGCACCAGGGCTGTGTTTATACAAGAAAAAGCCACTCTGATGCTCACATATATAGGAGGGGAACATCTTCACAGGCCCAAGGATCCACACTGAAAGCTTTTCTCCCAAATGCTTTTCTCATTAGCAAGTAAAAAATACTATAGTTGTTTATACAACAGAGCCAACCAGCTGACTTCAGGGGTTGAGCAGTGAGTTACAACTTAGTCTAGACCACATTTAGTCTAGTCCAAACTTAGTCTAGACCATACTCAAGGGTCCTATCCAGCAGGAAGCAGCCCAGCCCTCAAAGTCATGACCTATGGATGTTATTCCACACAAAACTATCCAATGCAGGGCAAAGGCCAGTTTGCTCGAGACTGGACAAAATTCCTGCTCTCTGTAAGTTTCCTCCCCAAGCCTCAGTGAGCTCCTCAGGGAGTAAAGAGCACGGTCAGAAAAGCAACAACCACAAATGCAGCTGCAGGCCACCATCAAAGTAGATTCCAGGACAGGGACGCCCGCCTAAGACAGAGGGACCACACATACAACGCACAGGCTAGCACCAGAATACTACTGGGAAAGAATGATAATTCTGTCTTTTTTCAATCTGTCAGCTTCAAACAGCCGCAAAACTCAACAAGCATGTCCAGCTGCTACACCCAAGCTCCAAAACCTCTCTTAGATCTGGAACCAAATGCCAGGTTACTGGCTGGGGAGCCACCGACCCAGATTTATTACGCCCTTCTGATACCCTGAAAGAAGTCACTGTTACTGTCTTAAGTCGAAAACTTTGCAACAGCCAAAGTTATTATGACCACGACCCTTATATCACCCAAGACATGGTCTGTGCAGGAGATGCCAAAGGCCAGAAGGACTCCTGTAAGGTAAGCATCTCTCTTTCAAACAGGCATCTCGGAGCATGGTACAGTAGCCAAGTCTTTCTTGCTCACTGACAATGAGGAGAAAGGAAGGACATAGAGAAAACAAAACCACAATTCAAAAAACTTTCTCTCCATTCCCGTGCAGGATTCTCTATTCTTTTTCATCTACCCATGTGAATGGAGTGTAAAAACTTCCCCAGTGCTTCATAAGCACCCACTAAATGTTTGTTAATCAGGATAATAGACTAGATCTGACAACTTTTACAGGATTCCTATGAGAGGTGTTATCCTCCTTAGAAAGTCTATCAACAGGCCGGGCATAGTGGCTCATGCTTTTAATCTCATCACTTTGGGAGGCAGAGGCAGGTGGATCACAAGGTCAGCAGTTCGAGACCAACCTCACCAATATGGTAAAACCCCGTCTCTACTAAAAAAAATACAAAAATTAGCAGGGCATGGTGGCATGCACCTGTAGTCCCAGCTACTCAGGAGACTGAGGCAGGAGAATCGCTTGAACTAGGAGGTGGAGGTTGCAGTGAGCCGAGATTGCACCATTGTACTCCAGCCTGGGTGACAGCGTGAGACTCCATCTCAAAAAAAAAAAAAAGAAAGAAAGAAAGAAAGTCTACCAACCCTGAAGTCACTAGTAGTGATTAGAAAATAACTTATTTAAAGAGCCACCTTGCAGATTAATCAATAAGGTCTTACAAGACTCAGATGCAAAAAGCTCAATTATACAGTATGTGTTTCATAAGTAATATTGACTGACTGTCTTTGTCTGTTTGGGCTGCTGTAACAAACTACCATAAACTTGGTGGCTTATGAATAACAGAACTTTATTCTATTCAAGATCAAGATCAAGGAACCAGAAGATTTGGTGTCTGGGGAGGGCCTACTTTCTGGTTCATAAACGGCTTCTGTTCACTCTAACCTCATATGGTGGATGGGGTGAGGGGTCTGTCTTAGGCCTCTTTAATAAGGAAACTAATCTCATTCATGAAGCCTTCACCTCCATGACCTAATCACCTCCCAAATGCCCTACCTCCTAATACCATGACCTTGGGAGTGAGGATTTCAACATATGAATTTGGAGGAATCAAACATTTAGACCATACCGCTGACTGACAAAAAAGGAACAAAAGGCAGGGCATGGTGCTGACTGACAAAAAAGGAACAAAAGGCAGGGCATGGTAGCTCACACCTGTAATCCTGGCACTTTGGCAGGCGAAGGTGGGTGGATCCCTTGAACTCACAAGTTCAAGACCAGCCTGGGCAACATGGTGAAAATCTGTCTCTAAAAAAAATACAAAAATTAACCAGGCATGGTGGCAAATGCCTGTAGTCCCACCTACTCAGGAGGCTGAGGTGGGAGGATCACCTGAACCTAGGAGGTTGAGGCTGTAGTGAGCCGAGATCTTGCCCCTGCATTTCAGCCTGGGTGACAAAGTGAAACCCTGCCTTAAAAAAAAAGGAACAAGAGTCATTATATTTTTCAAAATCTTTTGTTTATAGAGATAGTAAGGAAAAAAATAGGTGTTCACATTTATATGAACTATACTAATATGTAGCACAAATGAATTACTAATTAAAAAAAATTAGAATATAGTATTCAGCTCATACTATATTAAGTACTATTAGGGGAGAGGATATGATGACTTCAAATGTCTTGTGCATCTGCAGTACCCAAGACCATCTCCCTCCTAAACATCTGTTAACATGGTTGACCAGAGTACAAGGCATTGTAGTTTGCAATGTGAACATCAGCACAGAGTAAGGCTGGTCTTCAAATGTAAAAGCCAGCTCTTCATCAGAAGGCCATGCCATCCCCTCTATAGCTCTTTCACTTCACTTGATAGAATTTAGTTATATGTTTTGCTGTTATAGTGAGTCTTCAAAAATCGTTTCATTCACTAAGTTTTTACTAAGTATGGTACATATACAAATACATAGCACTATGTCCAACCATGTGAGGATGCAAAAAAAAAAAGAATAACAGAGAACATATAATTCCTACCATCAAGACAGTTATTACAATACATTGCTATTTTCTGCTAGTCTCAATAGCAACCTGATTTTAGGTCTGTGAGAATCAAAATGAAACATACAATTTTAAAAGATAATTTTATTTCAGTAGATTATTCAAAACTTTATGTATCCTTTAATAAATAAAAGTCAATAGCCATTGATTCCCAGAGGGATGTAGACTAGATAGGGACAAAACAGAGACATAGACATGGACACAGAGACAGAAGCAGAAGCCTGGTCATAGACAAAGACATAAGCAGAGAAGCAGGTAGGCAGAAACATAGTCCTCAACAGAGACAGACACATAGAGAACCCATACCCAGTAAGAGGCCGTGTCAGACACTCTTCAGGACATAAAGAAAGCAAGGACCCACTTAAGAATCCTTTGAGCAATCAACAGTTGGTGGTAAAAAAAAAAATTCTCAACAGCTTCTCACCATGTATTTGCCCTTTTTCTTCTTTCCAGGGTGACTCAGGGGGCCCACTGATCTGTAAAGGTGTCTTCCATGCCATAGTCTCTGGAGGTGATCAATGTGGTGTTGCCAAGAAGCCTGGAATCTACACCCTGTTAACCAAGAAATACCAGAATTGGATCAAAAGCAACCTTGCCCCATCTCATGCAAATTAAGTTACAAATGATTTTCTTGGATGCACTGGCTTCTTTTTTCCTAATATGCTCGCAGGTTATAGTCGGACGTAGATAAAGCAGAGCACAGATGGGGTCCATTTTTGCACCTGTATTTTATTAGGCAATCAAGTTCTTTCTCACTTGTATCACTCATGTATTTCTACCTTGCTGGTTTGATTTTAAATAAAATTTAGAAGACTCTCTGTTTGTCTTTTATCACGTGAAGTAATATCTACCCCCATTCTACCCACAGGGCAAAAAGGTCACTGAATAGAACAGTAACAGTACCACTTTCAAGCAGGTTATGCTGTGACTTCTGCTGGATCATCCTAAATTGTTGGGTTGTTTTCTTTTCATTGTTGCAAGAACATTTAACATGAGATAGGCCCTTTCAACAAATGTTTAAGGGTAAGATACAGTGTTGTTAACTATGGGCCTGATCTTGCAGTGCAGATCTTAGAACTGCTTTATCTCGTATAACTGAAACTTTATGCCAGTTGAATCGCAGCTCCCTATTTCCCCACCACCCCCATCCCCTGGCAACTCCATTCTACTCTAAGCTTCTACGAGTTTGTGTTTTTTAAATATAAATATCCCAATTCAAATAAGTAGCTTATACAAATATTTGGAAAGTATTTCTAATATATGTCGCATTTTGTTCCAGAAAGGATTTAAAGGAATGTACAAAAATGCAGAATTAAAAATAAATTGCTGAAGGTATTGAGACAAAGGGGAAATGAGAGTAAGAAAGAGAAAATGAAGGCCAAATGGTTACATGGTACTGATAGTGCCACAAGTTTCTCTACATACATTTGTTAGGATTCACATTTGGCTCTATGCTTTGGCCAATGCAAGAAAGAGCAACACAATTCATTATATGAATTACAGTATCCAGGAAATAAAAATAAATTATTTGCCCAGAAGTAGCACCCCTGGTGCTGGAACTAAAACTAGAGAGAACTTTTTTCCATGGTCCTCGTAAGAAGGATACTGTGCCTTGTTTCCCATATCCCCACCAACTGCATTAGAACCACCTAAGATTATTTGTATTCTTGATCTCTTGCCTAGAAATTCAGATTGAATAGGCTTGGGGTGGGCCTGAAAATCTACATATTTTCAGAGCAACTCAGTTGATACTAATAAATGGGCAAATCTGAAAGCCACTGATAATGAACATCCTCAGTAACTTCTTAAAGACAACAAATGATGTCAAGGGATTGTAATAAATCTTTCAGTGTGAACCGATGGCTTCAGACCAAAGTGCAGTTCAGTATGACCACTGGAGGATCTCAGCTGTCTTGGACTGTGGTTGTCCAGTGATTAGAGAAGTAAAAATTTCTAATTTGGATGGAGGAGCACATTGGGAGATTGCTGGGGGATGGCTTCAACAGTCAGAAGCCAAAAGATTAATCTCAGCCACTATACTTAATTTGGGTTTTGGTGGATAATGAGTTCTCATTTCCAGGAAAAATCAAGTTATCTTACACGCATATAGAAATAGATGCTTTTGGTTGGTTGTTTATTTGCTTATCTTTTGTCATGGTTCTTAGAAACCATCACTACCCTGCACTATGAATACTTAGAGAAATGAAAGCACTGTGTTTAAAAAAAAGTTAGGTTTAACTAAAATTATTGAGAGTAATAATTTTTAAATTATTGAGAAAATAGTAAAAGAAGGTTCTTTAAATATCTCATCTTAAACATTTTGATTTATTAAAAATATACTGATTATGAAATCCCAGACTATATTTTACAACAAAAGAAAAGGAAAAAGTTAAAGATTCTCTGGACTTACCATTAAAAAATAGTCCTGTGTCTATTTTCTCTAAATTTTCAATCCATGAAACATATCATTATAAATCTTTTTAACCAAAATGAATATTGCCATCGCCCCTAATTCCAGCTGATGAGTTATCCTGAAAAGTTGTCACTAAAACTTGAGAGCTGTATTTCGATTTTAGATTCCCTGCTGTTAATATCCATTAGTCATACCCGATCAGGTTGCCAGAGAAGGTTATTTCAACAGCTGTGGCAGACCTGGCAATTTGGAAATTGAAAGATAAATAGTTTATTTTGAAAAGCAGCTAAAGATAGAGCCCGCAATTGAAATGCATTCCTCATCCTTCAGGGAAGTAGTATTTTGTTAAATGTACCAATATCTCCCAAACATACCCTAAAAGACCATAGTATTTTATTCGGAAACTTGTTTTTGAGGAGTTTTATCAATGGCCTCAAAATGAAGTTGAAAGTCAAATTGAAGCAAATACCCAGATTTTACAACTGCTCAAAGGTTTTAGAGTAAAGTGGTTTGCTGTTGTCATTCTAATCATTCCACTTTCTCCCTTCCTTGTGGTTGTGGACAGAGTATATTGGCCTTCCCACAGATACAAAAGTATGCGTTATTTCACGTCCGCCCTGTTATAATAGAAAGTGACAGTACTAAGTCCAGATATAATCCATGAAATACATCAATATTGATTCAAATAAGCAATTAAACCAGTCTAGAACCAGATAGCAGAACTGTAAGGCCAATAGCCTTACTAAGAGCTGGATCAACAACACCCACCCCTCTCTATGCCTGATAACAGTTTATCAGGCAGAACACATTACTCAGCATCTGGCTCCTCCATGTGGGCTCCCCTCGCCCACTTCTGCATTCTGCCCCCAGGTTTATATTCAGCACTAGACTATGCACTCTCAGCACCAAGCTATGCATTTGAACCTCAGCACTAAACTATACAGCTGAACCCGTGAACCCGTGAAAATTGAAGAAATCCCGCCAAGCCTTACCCAATGGCAGCCCACCCCATTCATCCTAGGCCAGCCCCCCTCTAACCCCCATAAAACACCCTGCCCTGAGAAGTCAAGCGCGACTTCTGTGGCCCCCTTTCCTTAGGACCACAGAACCTCGCCCGGGAGATAAATAAATTGGCATCTGATTGTTCTTATACTGGCCTCAGTTTCCTCATTTTAAACTCGGCAGTAACCATTACAAGAACTAGTACTGCCTTCTGACTCTCTTATTTCCTGTACGTATTAAATCTCAACTTACTCTAAAATGACATGAAGAGCAGTGCTTCAAGCCTGGTTGTTTTTAGAAAACTATCTGATTAGAGGAAGGCGCTGTTGGTCGATCAATCAAGGAAGTGCTTCCTTTTTTACTAAGCTCTTAATTTGGGAAAGAACACTACTGTGGACTGAATCATGCCTGCTCCAAATTCATATGTTGAAGGCCTAACCCTCACTGTGACTGTGTTTGGTGATGGGGTCTATAAGGAGATAGAGAAGGTAAAATAAGCTCATAAGGCAGGATCCTGCTCCAATGAGATCAGTGTCTTTACAAGAAAAGAACTAGAGAGCTCAATCTCTCCCTCTCTCGGCTATGTGAGGACACAGTGAGACGGTGGCCATCTATAAGCCAGGAAGTGGGCCCTCCCTAGAAAATGAATTGCCCACACCATTATCTCAGACTTCCCAGTCTCCGGAATCATGAGAAATAAATTGCTATTGTTTAAGTCACTTAATCTGCAATATTTTGTTATAGCATCCCAAGGTGACTAAGCCAAACACATCTGTGGTGAGGAGAAAGGACACTGAGTGCAACCTGCCCACGGGCAGTGCACCTGAGGTCTCAAAAGCCCTGCAATTTCACAAGATTACTGAGACATGCCTGAAAAGCTCTTGGTATGTTGTCTGATGAGTTATTTGAGGACCAAGTGCATCCTGGCTGAATGGTTGGGCTCCTTATGTCTTAACTGATTCAGCGCCGTTTTCACGCTTTCACACACTGACTTCCTGTTGACTTCTCCAGTCTTTTTGCTGAGTCATATCAGTCAACTCTAGAATGACAAAAATCTCCTCATCACTTCTATGTTCTACCATGAAAGGATCACATTCTTTTTCTGGTTTTAGCTGTAAATGTCTGTGTGACAGCCTATTAGTCAGCATATGGGTTTACACTAAGGCTTTCCCTGAGAACTTACAAATAGGTTGAATAAAATTGCTCTCTGAGAGTGAATATTTAAACTCCATACATACTAGGTCAGAGCAGAGATACATAAAATCACTCTGAAGAGACATGGGACATTCCCAAGCCTGCAAAACTACCTATAATCTGCTTGAAAGAGACTGCCAGTTTGCTACTCAGTCTTTTTCTCTTGCTCTCTGGCATCAAAACTCAAATACTATTTGGTACCACAAATGTGCACAGCCCAAACAAGGCATTTTCTAGCCTCTCTCTTTGCCTGTAGTGGTCAATGAGAAATAGGAAGTTCCTATAAAGTGAGCTGATTAAGCTGGAAGGAGTGCCCTTTTCCCCTTCTTCCTTCCTACTGCCTGGATTGTAGCTATGATGGCTAGAGATCCAACAACAACGTTGAACCACAAGGCAAAGTTAAATAGAAGCCAAGTGGTAGTGACGGTGAAATAGAAAGAAGCAGCTGATGACCAAGGAGCCTACATGCCAATCCTGTACTTTTTCTTTTACGTAAAATAAAAATTAAATTTGAAAATATTTAATCCACTATTATTTGAAGCTTTCTGTTGTATACATCCCACCTAATCCAAATATTAAAATTGGAAGCCTAAAACTTCTATCCCTGATATATGTTCCAAAAAAATGGCAAGCCATGTGCCTTTATCCCCTTATCCCCAGACCCTCTCAAATCTTAAATGGCTTTAGCTTTCCACCTTCCCCGAATCAAGAATTGATTCAGAAAAAGTAACATTTGAATCAATAAACCATTTCCCCCTTGCTGCTCCACTATAGCTTACTATGGAGAAAATTCCCTGGTCTACCTGACCAGCTATTTTTATCTGAACCACATACTGCTGTATGGCAAACATTTTTTCCTATTATAAAAATAATACATAGCACTCAGTAGTCTATAACACTCTATACTCCATCCATGTATATTTTGTAAATGGATCTTGTAGAACTGTTTTTAGAAAAGTTGCCATGTGGCATTTCAAGTTATTGTTTGCTTTATTATTTCACAATCATTTGAAGTAATATAGCACTTTTTCCAATCAAACTACAAAAGCAACTCCATTGGCAGACAGTTGGATACAGTAATATCCTGAATATTAGCAGTGTTTTAGAAAATCAAAGCAGTCCCACATGTTGTCAGTCAACAGCACATGGGATGGCCATGTTAACAACCAATCCAAATAGACTCCAGAATCCCCACCATTTAGCATGT